AGTGTGGTGGAGGCTGCTTCTTTGGAAGCTTTTAAACAGAGGCTGGATGGCCATCTGTCAGGGGTGATTTGAATGCAATATTCCTGCTTCTTGGCAGGGGGTTGGACTGGATGGCCCATGAGGTCTCTTCCAACTCTTTGATTCTATGATTCTATGATTTCTTTTCTTGAAATGCTCATGTTTGCCGTCCCGAGTCCCCCTTCGGGGGTTGAAAAGGACGGGATACAAATGCTCTAAATAAATAAACAAGTTTTGCTATTTACCTTTGGGGGGTGGGGTGGGGTGGGTGAGGGTGATATTTTAAAGCTGTGGGTACCTGAATCTTTAGATAGAGAATCGATTGATATAGAGGGCTGACTGTATTAATGTCAGAATACAGAGGGTGACCATTTTTGAAGTATATTAATAGAGCCAGAGAACACCTAGAAATGGCACTAATTTTCAGCTACTAATCCAGAACAGAGACTTGAAGAAACAGAAAGGTAAGCAGGAATGGTAAAGTTGTTAAAAAGTGTGCTTACTCTTATAATGCCTTTGACACAGTTCCCCCCACTGGGATTGCGAAAATGTTAGAACAAATTAGTGCAGCAACAAAATCTTATTTTCCCCTCTCCATCTCTGACTACCTCTAATTATAGCAATGAAACCCTTTCAAGAAACGCTCCCTCTATTTCCAGATAAGGAGTTTTATTAGGAGGGAAGCTGAGAAAAAGCATAACATATGCTTAATGATAGGAAGAGCTTTGCCAGATATGTTCTAATGGGTGAAGCTGTAGCTGTGCAGCTTCACCCACCTTTACATAGTTATGATAAAACAGCTTAGCCTCTTAAGTCTTAACAGAATTGGACCTTTACTAGACGTGATCTGGAAAATTATTGTTTGGGAAAAAGATGAAGAATACTGATGCATACAGGAAATTAATTTCAAACATATATGATTCAAAGCCTCTGCAATTTTGATCAGGGTTCTCTTTCATCTTGCTTGCATTAATGGTCCCTGCAAGAGGATTTTTTAAAGCATAAGAATGAATCACTGTGTGAAACTGAGCCCAATTTCTCAGATAAGTTAATCTGCAAATTAGTTTTATATTCACAGCAGGTTGAGCCGTAGCAGTGCCAAGTGTTTGCCTGCCGCAATGAGAATGGAATCAGTGTTTTGCCATTCATGTGAAAGTTTCCCATTTCACAGGAATACAAGCATGTAAACATTTGGCGGTTGAATCATCCTTGGCACCGCTTAAACCAGACCCATGGCGCTGGAATATAAAATTTAGGATGCTGCTTTGTTTTGGTGTCTGCAACAGTATAATCAGATATAGGTCATCTCAGCATTTACATTAGGTTAGACTTTCGACTGTTAAAATTGTGTATCTATAAAATGGGAGCAAGAGAGATCTACAAGTGTTTGTTCAACTGCACCTTCAGGATTGATAGTACACTGGTTTGGAAGAAGTAGAGGAGGAGGAGGAGAAATGTAGCTTTTAACTGTAACATTGGTTTTTTAATAATGATTTTTAATAATGGTTTTTAATAATGGTTTTAAATTAATGTTAACTGTTGTTTATATAATATTATTTATTTATTTCGGATACTTTTACCCCGCCCTTCTCAACCCCGAGGGGGGACTCAGGGCGGCTTACAAAAGGCACAATTCGATGCCTATACAAAATTACACATAATGTACAAAACCATAGTTAAAACAATTATCACAGTTAAAACAATCAAAACAATCAATATACTTCACATCATATAAAAACTATTCACATGCTCAGCGTTCGTCTTTCAGAGTTCCAAATTCCATTCCATTAGTCATTTCCTGGCCATTCTCAAAGTCCTTTCTTTATCTGCACGATTGTCCGAATGCCTGGTCCCAAATCCATGTTTTCAGTTTTTTCCTGAAGGAAAGGAGTGATGTCGCTGATCTAATTTCCCCGGGGAGCGAATTCCACAGGCGGGGGCCACCACCGAGAAGGCCCTGCTCCTCGTCCCCGCCAACCTCACTTGTGATAGAGCCGGGGTCGAGAGCAGGGCTTCCCCAGAAGATCTTAGACTCCGGGGTGGGACGTAAAGGGAGATCCGTTCGGATAATAGATACACTGGGCCAGAGCCGTATAGGGTTTTGTAGGTCAAAACCAGCACTTTGAATTGTGCTCGGAACTGGATCGGCAGCCAGTGGAGCTGACACAACAGGGGGGTGGTATGCTCCCTGTATGACGCTCCGGTGAGCAGTCTGGCTGCCTCTCGCTGGACTAGTTGGAGTTTCCGAACAGTCTTCAAAGGCAACCCCACGTAGAGTGCGTTGCAGTAATCTATTCGGGATGTAACAAGAGCGTGGACCACTGTGGCCAGATCTGACTTCCCAAGGTACGGGCGCAACTGGCGCACAAGTTTTAATTGTGCAAAAGCTCTCCCGGCCACCGCTGAGACCTGGGGTTCCAGGCTCAGCGATGAGTCCAGGATCACTCCCAAGCTGCGAACCTGTATCTTCAGGGGGAGTGTAACCCCATCTAACACAGGCTGTAACCCTATGCCCTGTTCGGCCTTACGACTGACCAGTAGATTATATAATCTATGTTAAATGTCTGTTATGTTAGATGTAGATTGACCAATTGCTTTATGTTTTTATTTATATATTGGATCTGGCATTTAATGTTTGCCATCTTTTGTTGCAATCCGACCTTGGGGAGAGAGGGTGGAAAATAAATAGAGAATTATTATTATTATTATTATTATTATTATTATTATTATTATTATTTTACTGACACAAAAACACAGTATGTCACAGCAAACAAGATATATATGCTGGATTTTGTATCATAAAATCACAAGTTGAACACTTCCCAAGTGTCTAGGACTGTGTGATGTCTTTTTGAATGATGTGCGCAGATCCAAGTAAGGAGGCCTTTTGCAGTTGACAGATCGTGATTTTGTCGATGTGTATTGTTTCCAAATGCTGGCTGAGATCTTTTGGCATGGCACCCAGTGTGCCGATTAGCACTGGGACCACCTGTACTGGTTTATGCCAGAGCCTTTGCAGTTCTATTTTGAGGTCCTGATAATGGCTGATTTTTTCTGTTGTTTGTTCTCAATTCAATTGTCACTTGGTATGGCAACATCAAAAATCCAAACATTTTTCTTTTCCACAATCTGGTGTATTATGTTCCAAAACTTTGTCAGTCTGGATTCAAAAGTCCCACAGTATTTTTGTGTGCTCATTTTCTACTACCTTTGATCCCACCAGTTCTTTACTACTGGCAGGTGATACTTGTGACATAAGTTCCAATGAATCATTTGGGTCACAGAGTTGTGCCTCTGTTTGTAGTCTGTCTGTGTGATTTCTTGCAGCAGCTGAGATCCATGGTTTCATCAGCTTCCTTGCACAGTCTGCATTTTGGGTCATCAGCTGATTTGTCAATCCTGGCCTTAATTGCATTTGTTCTGATGGCTTACTCCTGGGCTGCAAGAATCAGGCCTTCTATCTCCTTCTTCAGGATTCATTAATGAGCCATAACCAGGTCTTCTCCTTATCAACTTTTCCTTCAATTTTGTCAAGGAACTGCCCATGCAATGCTTTGTTGTGCTCTGGTTTGTAGTGCAGTTTTCTTGTACTGATTCTTTGCCTGCTGTGCTTTGAGAAGTTTCTGATTATTATTATTATTATTATTATTATTTTAGTTATACATTTTAGCCATAATAACTCTTGACAACAATTTAGCAGTTGTTTGCAGCAATATGGTCTTTTCTTTAAAAGTTCAAAGCATGGCGTAATTGTATATTCCATATTTTGAGTAGTCTACATTTTCCAGAAATATTTGCTGTCTTAGTTGTGAAGGCTGTACGTAGAGATCATAAGAGTGATGGCTTACGATGCACTTGTTCACTGCATCCTAGCAAGTTACAAGATGATACTGTTAATGCTACTCTTGTTCATGGAGTCTGCAGCAATTGTCTTCCAGAGACACACAATAGACAATCTTTCCAATCCACTAATTTTACTGTCTTGCCTTATGAAACATTCTGGGAGAACTTGAAAGCTAGTGCCAAATTTGTGGCGTTGTAGGCTCCATCTACACTGCCATATAAATTAAACTGCAATCTGAAACTGCATTATGTGGCAGTGTAGCCATCTACCTTAGTGGTTCTAATAAAATGTATTACCCAACTCTGTATTTTGTTTTTGCTCATGGACCACACAACATTCCAACATTTAATGGCCATCTTTTTTTGTGTCAGGAGCAACTTGAGAAACTGCAAGTCGCTTCTGATATGAGAGAATTGGCCATCTGCAGGGACGTTGCCTAGATGTTTCACCATCCTGTGGGAGGCTTCTCTAATGTCCCCGCATGAAAAGCTGGAGCTGACAGGCAAGAGCTCACCCTGCTTCCAGATTCAAACTGCCAACCTTTCGGTCAGCAGTTCTGCCGGCACAAGGCCATCAATAAAACATATAGATACCAGAGAGGGGGTTGGAAGCAAAGACTTCTTGGGTCAGACCTGCATCTTTTAGCCATGAAGTTACAAAAATTCTGCAGTGGTATATATAGTATACTGTATATAAATAGGTGTTGTAGCACCTTTGAGACTCAGGCTGGATCTACATTGCCCTATATCTGCTTTGAACTGGATTATATGAGTCTCACTGCCAGATAATCTGGGATAAGCAGATAATCTGGGATATAGGGCAGTGCAGATCCAGCCTCACTGAGAGAAAAAAGTTTGTAGCATAAGCATTTGTAGACTGCCTACTTCATCAAATGTGGGCACTAGTGATATGAGAGAAGACCCTACAGTTTAGTGTTGTGAAATAATTTTCAGCATTATTTCCAATTCATTAACAATAGTCATTTTTACCAAATGCTCTAGAAATGTGATTGCAAGTCTTAGGGCTAAATTTATTTTCGGCTTCAAAGAGCTTTTATCAGATGATCACCACAGAGCTGGGAAGAGACTTTTTCATGGTAATTTATATTATTTTCTTCTTCTCTCCCATCTCGCCTCAGGAAAATGGGATCAGTTAATCCCATGCGATAATTATTGCAGGAACTCCAGTTCATTGCTGCAGGAGCAGAGAAAAACGAACACAGGATGGATGGCTTAGTTGAACAGAAGAGTGCCATGCTTAAGCACCATAAGGATGCTGACACCAAGAAGAGGAATGGGTTGATCAACACAAGGAACTTGATGGCCGAAGGAAGGGAAGGAATGGTATCGGTGTACCCAACCCCCCAGTATCAGAGTCGGCCGATTGGGACTCTCTACTCCCCAAACTACTCCAGAAATGACCCAGTGCAACAGCTCCTTGACCCCAGCACTTTGCCACAGACTGTGGAATCTCGTTACCACCCAAACATCATTCTGTATTCGGAAAGCATGCTGCGGTCCTGGGGAGAAAGTATGAATGCGGAATGCTGTGAAACAACCTTCATTGAGGACAAGTCACCCACTAAAGGCAGTCTGGATTATCCTGATGGCAAATTTGTTACTCTGACTACAGATGAGATCAAGATCCATACCCTGTCTTATGACGTGGACGAAGATGATGACTTCCAGGAACTAGAGGTCAGCCAATTTTCCTTCATGTTGCATGTTCCTTCAGCTGCATGACTACCCATGCAAAGAATAGGAGTGTACCATAGGGAACAATATCATAAATAAGGAAATAAAAGGTGGCTAGGAGTCCCTATCCATAGAAAAGCTGTCTGTAGTCACTGACCAAGTTTCATGTTCTTCCAGTTTGTTTCCCTTGAATGAATGCCTCATTCAAGTACTCTCTATACAGAGGCAGGTGCAATGGGATTACCCAAACTTAGGGTGCACCTACACTATAGAATTGATGGAGTTTGACATCACTTTTGCTGCCATGGCTTTGTGCTATGGAATCATGGAAGTTGTAGTTTTATATTATCTTTACCATTCTCTGCCAAACAGTGATGGTGCCTTACCAAATTACAAATCCTAGGATTTTATAGCATTGAGCCAAAGTGTTGTTAGACTATGTTAATTCTACAGTGTACATACTCCCTTGGAGAAGGCTTCTTGTTGATGTATACCCAGGCGTGCTTTCTTTCATCCACAAGACCCAGAAATAGTGAGCTTGGTGTGAATGGCAGGAATTTTAGCGTAACAAGATGTGAAAGAGGTATTAGCACCTTTAATAGTTGTGAAGAAGAATATTTCAGCAGCTTGCATGATAAACTATTTCTAGCAAAACTTTTTCATTTACACACTTGCTAAAGTTGCAAGACTTCCAGCCACTTTTACATTTGGTTATCTTGCAATACGACTGGGGACCCTCTTTCTGTCCCAGGCTTGAATTCAATTTCAGATTTCTTTGCATGTGCTGCATTCTAGTAATAAGTGGGGTCAAAAGGTGTGATAAAAATGCTAACACACTTTAGGTTAAGGTTTCTGTTGCCAATAAATTAGGCTGGATCTATATTGCGATATAATGCAGTTTGGACTGCATTACATGTGCCTACACTGAACATATAATGCAGTTCAAGCTCCATTATATGGCAGTGTAGATCCAGCCTATAAAAACCTTCTAGAATGGGAATAATAATAATTATTTATTTATTTATCTATCTATTTATTTATTTATTTATTTATATACTCCTCTATCTCCCTGAGGGGGATTGAGGGCAGTTTCCAAGCAAAATCACCAAAACTACAGAGTAAACAGCATAACATAAAATCGACAAAACAACATAAGCATAAAATTATCACAATAACACACATATATTAAAAATAATCATGGCAGTTCGGAGTAATTGAAAGGCCAGGCCGAGGCTAGTGCAAACTCAAAATATGAGGGGACTGGAACTTAAGTACAGATTATGGAATAATCCTCTAGAAAAACTAGGAAGGCTGGTTTGGGGCCTTGGGCTAGATTCACCATTAAGGTTTGAAGTCCTGTCCCTCCCTCAGAACAAATGTGGTTTATTTTAATAATTGGGGTGTGATGCATATTGGGCATTTTAGCATATGGTAAACTAAAAGTCTGCAAAATTGTATCCTACCAGTTTACTCACAGTGAAGTGTGTATATGAACATACATTTTAATTTTTCTGTTCAGAGCCACATTATTCCACTTTCTTAGCTAACACAGCATGAGATACCATAAATGTGTGAAAAGGCACTTGAGACTTCACATTGAAGCTGGGAAGTATTTGGTAGAGTAAAGCTCAGTCTGACTCAGTTTGGAAATGAAACAGATTATTTTCCTACCTTCATCACACTGTTAAATGTATATCTGTGTTACTCAGTTCTACTAAGCATTCTTTCAGTAGATTTGCCATCACATTGTAATCACTAGGCACCGCCCACATCCCCCTCTCCCCATGTCCTTTGTGGGGGGGGGGGGGGGAGAGAGAGAGTCTCCTGACTTTGAAATATTAGCTGTTATGTGTCTTCAATTTCGGAAGCAAGGAAGCAGGAAGGAAAGGAGGGAAAGTGGTGATGCACTCTCTCTCTCTCTCTCTCTTTCACCCACAGAGAAGGGTATGGAACTTGGAAAACTATAACTCCTAGGACTGCATTGTATGGAGCTATGGTATTTAAAGTGGAGTCCAAGGGCATTCATTCCATAGTGTAAATGCACTCAGAGTAGGGTATATGGACCTTGGGAAACTATAACTTCCAGGACTTCACAGCATGGCGCCATGTAATAATAATAATTATCATCATCATCATCATCCTTCTCTCCTGGCTTTCCCATGCAACACAAGACACTGACATATCACAGAAGGAAGGGCAGGGCAGGACAGGGCAGAACAGCATAACATAAAATCGACAAAACAACATAAGCATTGGAAAGGCTATTTTAAAAAAAGGACCTGGAAAGGCTATTTAAAAAAAAAGAAAAAAAAAGAAATTGTTCTGGCAAAGTAAAACTCAATGAGCAAAAGGTAATGCTTTCCCTAACAAGTGTAAATTTGGACCCTCCCACAAGCTGGGGAAAAGTTTCATTTTATACCAAATGCCATCACATTACACAACTGGATCATTACCAAAAATTTACTTCCCCACCACCTTCTGAAACATTTGAAAATAATGCTGGCCCCCACACTTAAAATACGCAAAGAATGATCTATCCTACACTTGAACACAACTTAGTATGATGAACGCAGTGGCTTAGCACGTTTTAATTCCACTCAGTGGAATTTTATAAATGTGATGAAGTAGCTGGAGACTGATTATGCTCAGCCACTGTTTCCATAAAAACAAGTTACATATGATGTATTCAAGAGAGATGGCTAATATATCTTTATCTTACATAGATTAATCCAGGTGTGGGTTTATTGGTACCTTTTAATTTCTCAGAGCAGCAATATATGTTTGGGATCTAACAATATAACTTATATGTGTTATGATCCTGAAAATAATTCTTCTAAAGAGTACCTTCTAGTATCAAAATACAATGGGGGCTTTCCCATAAATGTCCAGCAACCAGTAAACACAAGGGTAGCTTTCCAGAAATTGGCCAGCTGCCTTGGGATCCACTGAGATATAAATTAAATAGAGATATATATGAAAGTACTTGAAATGAGGTCAGGCTGGGGTAAATGTCCTATTACCCTAAAGGCAGACAATGGCGGGAGAAAAAGTAATTGCTTTGTTGGCTATCTCATATGATCTGCGTGCGGTATGAATTAATTTGGGCCATTATATCTTGCATCTCCCTCTTTTTAAAGCCTGCCGAAAGCTGCAAAACAGAACAGCAAATAAAAAAGAACAACCCCACACACGCCATAACATCTATATAAATAAAAATGTAATGTTCGTTTGTGGGATTAACAGAACTCAAAAACCACTGGACGAATTGACACCAAATTTGGACACAATACACCTCTCAGGCCACCGAGTGATCATCATTCATAAAACACTGAAAAACCCAACAGAGTGACTATCACTCAAAGAAAATTGATTTTGTCATTTGGGAGTTATAGTTGCTGGGATTTATAGTTCACCTACAATCAAATATCATTCTGAGCTCCACCAACGATGGAATTGAACCAAACTTGGCACACAGAACTCCCATGACCAATAGAAAATACTGGAAGGATTTGGTGGGCACTGACCTTGAGTTTTGGAGTTATAGTTTACCTACACCCAGAGAGCACTGTGGACCTAAAAAATGAAGGATCTAGACAAAAATTGGCAAGAATACTCCATATGCTCAAATGTGAGATGGAGTTTGGGGAAAATAGACCTTGATATTTGGAAGTTGTTACTGGGATTTATCGTTCACCCACAATCAAAGAGCATTCTGAACCCCACCAATGATAGAATTGGACCAAACTTTCCGCATAGAACCCCCATGACCAACACAAAATACTGTGTTTTCTAGTGGTCTCTGTCGACCCTTCTGACACCCTCCCCCAGCAATACCGCCCGGGGTCCCGACCTCCAGGATGAGAAATGCTGCCTTAAGGCCAGCCAGTCCAACTCCCTTCACCAGGGCAAGAAAACATAACCAAAGCCCTCTTTTACTTTTCCAAATCACCAGACTGGGCCACAGCAATGCGTGGCAGGGGACGGCTAGTAAAATATAATATGATCTAAAAAGCAGCAGCACTCATGTACTGTGTAGGCTCACAGGTACTAGACATCCCCACTGAGCATAGCAAGGAGTGCATTCCCACCCTGGCTACGGGCCTGCTCCCTTCTATAAAATGAGCTGAGAAAAATAAAAAAAACCCTAAAACCAGGAATTGTAATGACCTGATATTATATGCAAATAATTTTACAAAAAAACTTAATATGATGTTTACATTGTGATTTAGAAGCAGTAAATATGTAAAAACCATGTCTAAAAAAAATTATTCTTAAATCTAAAAGAAAATATTCCATAATCAATTATTTTATTTTTCCAGGGGAGCAGGGTGAACTCCCACTGTTAGCCCCAGCTTCTGCCAACCTAGCAGTTCGAAAACATGCAAATGTGAGTAGATCAATAGGTACCGCTCTGGCGGGAAGGTAACGGCGCTCCATGCAGTCAGGCTGGCCACATGACCTTGGAGGTGTCTATGGACAGCACCTGCTCTTCAGCTTCAAAATTGAGATGAGCACCAACCTCCAGAGTCGGACACGACTAGACTTAATGACAAGGGGAAACATTTACCTTTTTATTGGTTTGGGTAGATCAATAGCTGTGGTCTAATAATGTCTGCAGGGACATGATTCCACTGCCTGTGCTCCTTTATTGCATTCCCTCATTGCCCAAGTATCAGTAGCTGATTGTGTCAAACTTGGATGCACTGGAAATTATTCTGCTGTCTTAATTCAATTACAGCAGTCAGTTAACAGGAGTTATCTTGTGCTTTTCATTCTCTCTGGCAGATAGGCAGACAGGCCTCATTAAAGACTCAATAAAAAAAGAAAAGAGAATTTTATTCCCTGGTGTCCCAATTTCAAATCCCTTCAAATAAAGGGACATTTCCCAAGTCTTTTTCTCTTCCTTTTTGGCCAGCCTCTCAATTGCTTATTTGACAGTGCCATAACAAATGGTGTTCAGTTGTTTAGATATTAATTTTCACAGCCAATAATCCATGTTCTGT